GGAAAGCCTTGCCTTTCATGTAGAAGCTCTTTAAAGGAAATGTTCCTACTTATCTCAAAGCCAGAGAGAGTGGATAGGAGGGAGGACTTTGTTTGCCCACATCTTCAAACACACTGCATTTTGGGGATGCTAACAGGACTGTTTTAATTTGCTCCCCACAAAGGCAGACTTCTGCTGCTTTTCCTGAGATCCTGACAGAAGAGTGTTTGTCTTTAATGTCACCATACGAGATAGTGCAGCTGTGTTTATGGTGGGAGTTACCTGTAATTTATGTTCTAACTTAAATGTTTAAGAAGATTAGCTGTTTCCTTTCATTTAAAGACCTGAAATCGTTTTCTCTGTTTTCTTCTCTTTTCTTCCTTTCTCTTTTCTTTTCTTTCTTAAGCTCAACACTCCTACAGATTTTTAACGACCAGGAAGGGGGTTAGAAGATCAGGACTTCTGTTCTCTGGTACCGAGTTGGAATTGTTAAAATGGTAGCATTTCAGAACGTAAACATATACTTGGTTTCCAATCTAGGAAAACAGAAGCGAATGAGGCAAAGCTAACCAAACTGGCTATCTAAATGAGGGCAGGACTTTTCTTAGGAGGTCTATGAGACCCAAGCTGATCATATCCTAGGCCTCTCTTCTCACCTACTGTTTTGTTATAGGTCAGATCATAGTAAATCTTATTATCCTGAAAACTTGACTTCCAAGGATGTGAGGGGAAAGTGAGCTGGGTCAACACCACTCAGGTTTTGGGACTGGGAAGAGGGGGGCAGTGCGTCGTGATCGTGGACTGGTCGACTATAATGGAGCCTCTCAAAGCTTAGTTTTATACGCATGAACAGATTCCTCCCCTCATCTGACCCAGTGAAATATGGTTTTTTTCTCATCTAGGAACTAGAAAGGAAAACTCTGTTTCCTTCTCCAATGCGAATGGAATTCGGAGCCCTTTGTTCATTTATCTTTTAGGACCTTTTCTCTAAAAGTAACCTTCCATTGAAGAGTTTACTAGAATCGCCAACGAAAATTAAAATGTAGCATCATTTTTACTCATCAATTCAGCAAGCATTTATTGAGTACCTGCTATATGTGGGCATTGTGTAAGGAATAGAAAGGTGAGAGTGGGCTACGTCGATACAAATACATTTAACAAATTATGATAAATGCTTTCATAAGTCATCTAGCTGCTGGTTAAATAGTCAATTGCTGTTGGTTACAGATATCAAAGAAGACAAAATACTTTGGGATCTAGATTTAGTGTGTCTATAATAGTTTCTTGGTCTAGGAGTCTTGAGGCCATTTGACAAAAGTCAAAGAGGTTAATCTGGCCTGACTCATTTTTGTTGAACTATTCACAATAGTGATGCTATTTTCTTTTCAAGATTTTATTTATTTATTAGAGTGTGTGAGCAGGGGGAGGGGCAGAAGGAGAGGGAGAGGAGAATCTCCAGCAGACTCCTCGGTGAGCGCAGAGCCCCACTCGGGACTGGATCTCACCACCCTGAGATCCATGACCTGAGCCAAAATCAAGAGCCAGATGCTTAACTGACTGAGCCACCCAGGTGCCCCGTGATGCTGTTTTCTTTAATAAAATTTTCCAAATTCTCAGTAATAGTCAATGCTAGAATTTTCCTGGCATTGATTGTTGATTTCACTGCTTTGTACTTCTTAAAATTTTTTCTGAATATTGTTTGTTCATTTATATTTCTCCAACTTTCCTCTACAGGCAGCACTGTCCATAGGGGATGGAGAGTCAGTAATTACTATTTTATAACTAAGCCATCAGCAGTATGGGGGCTCACAGCCCTACATTAGCCTGGTCAAAGTCAATAGGACCATTGGGTTTCTGAGCATGCACAGAAGTGCACTTTGTCCACACGCTCCACACAAAAAAGTTCCAGAATTGGTAGACAAGTTCCCCTTGGCCACTTAGCTTCAACCACAGTGCCTTTCTAGGTTCTAGAAGTTTATTCTGAATTTGTTTCAAAGTTATTATAAAGATCTCTTACACAACTTTTTGATAAGTCTAAAATTATTTCAAAATAAAAAGTTCAAAATTTATTCAACTACTCACTGTTGGACATTTAGATTGTTTCTAATTTTTTTTTAAAAAATAACTTTAGTGCATATCTTTGTCATGAATTTTTGTGTATATCCCTGTTAATTTTCTTATAATACATTCCTAGAAGTGAAAATGTTGGTTCCCAGTGTATGCATATGTTGATGCCTAATAAATTATTCTGTGAAGTTTCCCCTAATTTGACCGTTAGCTATTATAATTTTTAAAGTATTTTTCAGTTTGATAGAAAACAATGGTACTTCACTGTTTTAATTTACATTTCTTCTGGTACTGAGGTGAATCCTAATCTTATGATTATTATACATTTGTACTTTTTTGTGTGTGTGTAAATGACCTGTTCATGACTTCTACATGTTTTACTTTTGGTAGTATTCCCATTTATCATAGTGATCTGTATGAAGTCATTGATGTAGTTCTAACTTTTGCCCTAATGTGGAGAATCTCTTTCAGTTGACAACCTTGGAGATTTTATGTTTGATATGTTAAGAGAGTGTGAGAATTTTGTCTTTAAAAACAAAAAATAAACATCTTCTCTTCAAGAATTGAAAGAATAACAATATATGAGCAACAGCACCCAAGTAACATCCAAAATTGACTTTCTCCACTGGTCATCACACTTTATGCTTAGATTTCGCTCAAGCACTTTACCCTTTTTGATCAGAAGGAGAGTTTCTGGTCCATACTGGTCTCTCAGGGAGTGGCAGAGCATGAGAATGAAACATACAAATCTATAAACTACCAGCTCATGTCTCCCTTAGTGCAAAAGCCAACACAGTACTCTTCTCTTTTGCCAAGCCCTGCCCCCCATCCCTTGTCTCACCTGTGGTTTTCTGGGAATTCAAATAAGACCTGTCATCTTGCTTCCTATCAGTCCTCCTCGTGGATGGATACTTCCTGTGGTTCAGGCCTCTTTTTATCCCTGAATCTGTTCTTTTATTTAGAGAGAGAGAGCGAGTGCGCACGCACGTGCATGAGCTTGGGGGGGGTGGGTGGAGGTGGGGGTGGGGAGGGGCAGAGGGAGAGGGAGAGAGAAAATCTTAAACAGGCTCCACACCCAGCACGGAGCCCAACTTGGGGCTCGATCTCACAAACCTGAGATCGTGACCTGAGCCAAAACCAAGCGTCAGACGTTTAACTGACTGAGCCACCCAGGCACCCCTCCCTGAATCTTTTCTTTAAGAACTCGGTTGTTTTCCCCGCCTTCAGTTAGTTTTTCCAGAAAAGTCTCCTCTGCTCCTAGCCTGACTTATCCTCTTAGAAAGTTCCCACATATTCTTAGGACTTAAACTAAAGGCTCAACTGGAGGCATGAGGAGAGGTGATTTGATTGTCAGGGGGCACACGGGTATGGTACTCATAAGTTTAAAGTCCCTCATAAATAAAAGTGTGACTTATAGCCCATAGTCTATGCAGCTGATTTTGTTATTTTTGACATTTCTATCATACTCTAGCTATAATCTATTTTTTCCTGTGAGAAATTGGAGGACATGTTTCCTGACTCCCATCCCTTTCAGTGTGAATTCTTGCTTCCTGGGCAGGTCCCCAGTCTCTAGGGGGCTTCTAGAACATTGTGTACGTGTCTCTCTTAAAATATTCCCTTGTTGCCTTGACAGGTCTCCCTTTATATGTTTTTTTCCCACCTATTATAACATAAACCTTGTCAGAACTGATTCTGTGTCTTACTCATTTTTATATTTTCCTCAACCCAAACGTGTTTGATAAATGGAATGTTTTTGATAAAGTTTAGCATTGTTAGCAAGATGTCCATCTTTGTAGAAATTATATTTGTAGCATGTAGCAATTGAGAAGTGTGGATTTTATTTTATATCCAATAGTTAACCACATAATACATATATATATTATAAAGTAGGAAATGCTGTTAAAGAAGAAAAGGAAAGTCTTCTGTAATCATACTGTCTAGAGATTACTACTGCTGGTATTTGGTCACCTATTCCCCCCAGGATTTGAAGAAGAAGGGAGAAGGAAGAAGGAGAAGGTGAAGGAAGAGGAGGAGAAGGGGAAGATTTATTGAGTATTTACTATGTGCTAGGTATTACATAGATTTTCTCAGTCTACATGTTAACCATATGTGATAGGTCACCTACTGTTTTCTGCATTTCAGAATGGAAGATGCAAAGGCTTAGGGATGTTAAAGAACTTGCTCAAGATCACATGGCTGACAAATAGCTTAGTCTGGATTTGAACTCCCACGGTGTGAGCCTAAGCACACGTGAGTCATAACAGCATATTGATCAAAGTGCACATCTCTAGAGCCGAACTTCCTGGGTTTAAATCTCTGCTCCTTCACTAACAAGCTGTGTGATTTTAGGCAAGCTAATTAATCTCTCATCAATTCCCATTCTCTCATTTTAAAAATGGAGTTAAGGGGCACCTGGGTGGCTCAGTTGGTTAAGTGACTGCCTTCGGCTCAGGTCATGATCCCAGGTCCTGGGATCAAGCCCCGCATCCGGCTCCCTGCTCGGCGGGAAGCCTGCTTCTCCCTCTCCCTCTCCCCCTGCTTGTGTTCCCTCTCTCGCTGTCTCTCTCTCTCTCTCTCTCTCTGTCAATTAAATAAATAAATAAAATCTTTAAAAAAAATAAAATAAAAATGGAGTTAAGATGATATTAGCCCTAAACTTGGCACAAAGTTGGAATGAGTATAAGAGAAAATAATTTATGTGACGTATTTATAGCACGGCTACCTATAGTAAAATTTGAATAATTTTTTTGGTAGCCAAAACTTTAAGTCCAAGTATTCTCACAAATAATTAACTCTTATATTGCTATATATAAATAAAAATTATCATGCTGTAATCCTCTTTGTTATTTGCCTACTTCACTTACTATACTATGAATGTCATTTTAGTTAATAAATAAATATACTTGTACCACATCATTCATAGGACCATACGGTATTCTACTCTTTGAATTCACCGTAATTTATGTAATCAGTTTCCTGTTCCTCTAGGATGGGAACTTCATGAGATGGGGACTGTTCCAAGTTCAGTCCTGTGCCTAGAACAGAGCTAGCACAAGGTAGGTGCTCAATAAATATTTATTGAATGAATGAATGAATATTACTGAAGTTGCTTTCAATTTTTCACTGTTAATATTTTTAAAAATTATTTACTTCTAGGAGCTTTTGATGTTTCAAAATTTTCTTGTATAGTAATACACAACCTTCCAGTCATTGCTTAAGAATCAAAATGTAGGGGTGCCTGAGTGGCTCAGTTGTTAAGCGCCTGCCTTCGGCTCGGGTCATGATCCCAGGGTCCTGGGATTGAGCCCTGCATTGGGCTCCCTGCTCAGCGGGGAGTCTGCTTCTCCCTCCCCCCCCCCCCCCCTGCTTGCGTTCCCTCTCTCTCTGTGTCTCTCTCTGTCAAATAAATCTTTAAAAAAAAAAAAAGAATCAAAATGTAATTCCTACACTGATGTAGAAACATGTTGTGTCTAAGGGTACCCATTTGGTTTAAGAGAAAAAATGCTGCGGAAGTAAAGATGCATGGTTATGTTTAAAATAATAACTTTAAAAAGTCTCATGAGATGGTTTTCAAAGAGTGTTTTACCATGTGGGTAAATTTTAACAAAAATTGCTCCAATTAGCTCCAAGTACAATGACATGCATAATGCTTTGATTACACATATGAAATTCATTTAGTCAAGAGACTTTGAGTAGGAAAAATGCAACTTTGTAAGAAAAAAAAATCACTATTACTATGATAGAATAGTGCCCCTCCCCAAGATCTAATCACGTGCATGTTTAGAAGAAAGCGTTTTATATCCTCTATAAGAGTAACATCTGGTGACCCTTGGACTGTTCCAAAGCAGCTCTACTCTGCTTTCACAATACCATTTTGTGTTACACAAATCAGTAGAGTTGCCTGCAGAGATTTAGGGAACTTGGAAAAATTTCAACCTCACTTAAAAAATGTGCTACTATTTCTCAATACCTTGAGCTTGGGTGGAATGTAGTAATGAGCCGGAAACCAAGATTAATGAGGCAAGGAGAGCCACTTCGCGTATTGTTATGATGTAGTTAACACTTCGGAGAATTTCTTCGAGGAGGTGATGAGACTGGCCAACAGAACTTATTGAGTAGAAGGAAAATAAATAGACTATGACTAGCTTGAGGAACAGAGGTAGCAAAGGGAGGAAATCTAGAATCCAGCCCAAGGTGTACTCTCGGTGGAGAATGCTTCGTAATTATGTCTTTTGATGGCTTGAACTTAATTTTATTTCTTGGCATTGAACTGAAATGTAAACCATGCGGTCTAGTTTGCTAACTCAGATAGTATTCAAGTTGCTTCAGACTTGGTCAGTTTGTCTTTCATTTTGATTTTGTTCAGCGTGAAAGTGACAGTCTCCAGCTCCCTGCAAGCTCCCTGAATGATAGTTTGTCCAAATGGCTACTGTCATATCAGTTGGAGCCAAGGCTCTGAAAACTTAATAAGAGACATTGGAGACCTGTGAACCATGGCTAAGCAGTTAACTAGCCATTGTAGAAGGAGGTAATCCGTGATGTTTTGGCCTAAAGTTCACTTACAACCTAACCGAATAGCAGAGTGTGAAGGAAAAATCATCTTACTAGGGTTTCCTTCCCTCAGCTTCGCTTTTTGTTTGCTTCTCAGTTTTTTCTCCTGCTCTCCTTCTGATACTTTCTCTTTTTTTCTCCCCTTTAAACATGTTTCTCCTCTATTCCTATATTCTCCTTACTCCCTCCTCCCCACTGCTGCCCCCTTGCCTCTCTCTTATTATTTCCCCTTTTTTCACCCACCCCTCCACCAATTTTTTAACTGCCCATGGAGCTAAAGAATTAGTGAAATAGTTTTATTGTTTGAAATTTTAAAAATAGTTTGAGGAGAATGTTTATTTTTCAAGGAAAAAATTATGCTCGACTTTTTCTTTTTTGTATTTTAGAAAGAGTGCATGAGTGGAGTGGGAGTGGGAGGTGGGTGGGGATGGGGGGGCAGGGGAGGGGAAGAAGGAGAGGGAGAGAGAGAATCTCAAGCAGGTTCCATGCTCAGTGCAGAGCCTGATGCGGGGCTCGATCTCATGACCCTGAGAATATGACCTGAGTGGAAACCAAGAGTTGGAGGCTCAACCAACTGAGCCCCCAGGCACCCTTCACTTTTTCTGATCTTAGTTTTATTACCTAATTCAAAGCACATGAATAAAGTCAAGCACAGAAATATCAGTACATTAAATCTTAGCAGTTAGTATTCTCTTGATTCCCTTTTTCGTTTTGGATCAGTTGACCTTGAAAGAAAAAAAGATTTCCTGTGTTTTCTCTGAACAACTTAAGATGGACGGTTGCTGTTACCCTTATAAGTGCTCTTAAAGATGGAGTATCCACCCATTTCCCAGTTCCCTATTTCAGTGGATCATGATCAACTTGTCTACCCCAATTTTTTTTTCGGTGCAGTTTACGCTCATATTCTTTTGTTTGAGCCTTAGTGGAAAGAACAAACGGACAATGTCCTCCTTAAAGTAATGGTTCAAGTTCTAAAAAAATGGCTCTTAGGCCACCTTTGAAGGTGGACCAAAAATCCAAAGGTGGACCTGTTTTTATAGCATAGTTTGTGGACAGAGCATGGGCTTTGGAGCCTGACACTTGGGTCCCTGGGCAAGGCATTTACGCCCTGTCAGCATCGGATTCCTCCGTTATTAGGAAACATTCAGAGGACTGTTGTGAGAATTAAAAGAATTTAAACTGGCAGAACACAGCATAGTGCCCCCATGTGGAGAGATTCTGATAAATGACAGCATAAACCCTAGGAACCCCCCTGTAAAAGGTTCTTCCCATAGGAATGCTACTGATTCCCTTTCCTACCTCTCCATGACCCATAAATAATGAGTGTGATCTGGGAATATTAAAATTGGAGCAATCAAAGAGAATTAGGTATTGAGAGAAAGGGAGAAACAGACAGTTGGCCTACTTACCTTGTGCCTCTTTGGTAGCTGTGTGACTCAACTTGGAGCTTCCTAATGTAGAGGTAGGAGAAATAGTGGACCTATCATTTGCTGAATTAACTTTTTTCAAACACATTGTGGAAGAGGGCCTGCCCCTCCTCCGCCCCCCACAGACATTGCACAAGTATCTGGTTGGTGCGGAAGCTGAGCAAATGTGATAAACTCTCTCGCTCAAATGTAAGAGTTACACAAGACAATGTCGTGTGTTTATGTGTTTGTGTGTGTGGATGTGTGTTTGTCAGAAGATAATAGAATCAAACCCTTCTCTTAGCCATGCTTGAAATGCTTCTAAGACTTAAAAAAACAAAAAAAAAAAAACCCAAAAAAACCCCTCAGTTACAGGTTCTTGGGTATTTTCTCCAAATTAACCTTAAAATGCTGAGACCAAAATCAATCCAGTCAGGAAAATGTTTTTATGAAAATTTATATTTGCCACGCTCTGAAGGTTTCAATAGTTCTTAATTGCAGGTCAGTGTTCACTGTGAGCTGGGTTGCCAACAGTTTCACAGTAACATTATTAGTAGTTAAAGTGGTCAGGCTTGCAAGTGATTTACTTTCTAACCAAATAAATGAGAATGAATTCAAAAATTTCTCTACAATGACATCACTTTTACTTGCTTTTATTATGCTTCCCTGGGTAAAGAATGGAGAGTGGAATTATGGCTGGCAGGTTGGAATTTTCCCTGATCCAAGATGTGAACATTATTGGTCACGACTCTTGTGAACAGTTTATATGAAGATAAAACTGGCAGAAAATGGGATGCATTGGGCCAGCATTGATGCTGAAGTAGAACCCTAATGCTTTAATAATGCAACCTTTTGTTTATTGAAATTCATCCTTCTCAGAAATACCTACGGATACAGGGTCTTGATGAGCGATAGAGTAAGAAAATGGATCTTTAAGGGGATCTGTATGTGGTATAGTATAAGATAGTTCTAGTGCTGTCAAGACAATAAGGAGAGATGGAAGTTAGACACCAAAGGGGTTGCAGATTAAAAGTATGGACCAGCTAGTCTTTGAGGAAACCAAGAGAATGAAGGCTAGCCACCTTGCCTCTTGGGTGGTCATAGAAGAAGATAACACTTACTTCTCAGAATCTGAAATGGTATAAGAAACTCTGAGGTTGAGGGATTTTCTTCAGACCACAGACCTTAAAGATGTGATGAGCTAGGCTGTGGGAAGGGTCTGAGTCCATTCACTGGAGTTTCCTTTTCTTCACAGTTTCAGGAGAGAAAGGAGGAATAGGTAAGAGAATGGGATAGTGAGAGGAAATCATAGGAGAGACAGTCTTCCATAGGTGTCCTGTATTTCTACACCTCTTGCTGAGTAGACCAAGGAAGGAAGGCCAAGATCACTTGATACCCAGGCCATTTCTCAGGGCTGTATTTCAGTGAGCAGCCTTGAGGGGTAAAGTAATGTCTGCTTCTGGTACAAAGTGGAGGCTTGCTTCCAATGGAATGGTGAGTTCCCCAAGCTCCATGTTCCTCGCCAATAGTTCCCCCACTGTGTGCAGGCATCCCTCAGGGCCCTCTGTTCCTCTGTGGGATTTGGAGGGCAAATGACCGATGCCAAATACGAATGCTCATACTGCATGTTTTGCCATGAGTAAAGTCCTTTGTCTCTAACCCAGAGATCTTGTGTCTTCTGTCAGCGTCCATGAAATAGTAATGAGCTAATTTATTAGCTTGTAGCTAGGTTAAAATCAAACCTCAGACCTAAAGGAAAGGGATACAATTATTTACAGAAATGTTTAGAAAGAACACGAGTCTTCACCAACGCATTTTCTTTTCCTCTGCCCCTCATGAGGTTGTTCAATCATCTTTAAAAACCATTCATAAACTCTGAGGTTCTTGGCAATGCTATAGATAGAATTCTTGGACTTCTTAACTTTGACCTCTAAAATCAGTGAACTTCCTGAATTCTTCTGAGGCACATGAAAGACTTGATGAGAGTGCTGATGTGTTTGATACCAGACTGATGGGGTCTTGGAGGTGGTCCAGCCATTCTTGCCTTTAGGCTACACTTAAATCAGGCTGCTTTTCAAATATCTCCACAGAATGAGTGAGTTTAGCTACATTCCCTCAGGAGCCTATTTCATTCTTTTCCCCTTTCAGGACATTTCTCTCTGCTTTAGAATTTAAATAGAATAAAAAAAGAGAATGAAATCTTACCATTTAAAAATTTTCCTTTTGTGGGTTAGAAATGGATCATACCCTGAGAGAAAAAAAAATCTTGAAGTTCACTGTCATTGTCTTTCCTCAAGGCTGATTGGAGTTCCAATTTTCTTTAAAATATTTCACTGTGAATCTCATTCCTATAACTATTTTCTGCTGGTTTCCTTGGGGAAAGTTGGGAAAGATCTTCACTTGTATGTTCTCAAGGTCTTTTGAAGACCTTGCTATACCTTACACACATTTTCTTTCTGCCAGAGACGTTTTTTCTTTTTTGAAGATTTTATTTATTTATTTGGCAGAGAGAGACACAGCGAGAGCAGGAACACAAGCAGGGGGAGTGGGAGAGGGAGAAGCAGGCTTCTGGCTGAGCAGGAAGCCCGATGTGGGGCTCCATCCCAGGACCCTGGGATCATGACCTGAGCCGAAGGCGGACGCTTAGCGACTGAGCCACCCAGGCGCCCTCTGCCAGAGACTTCTATGAGTACCATTGTCTAGGGGTGTATTAAGCCAATTCCTCATTTGGGTCATTGGGATGGTTAAGTTCTAACACTACTTCCAATATAAGGTTTTTGAGTTTGTATTATTTGGGGATCATATATCCCCATTGTGTGTACACCTCTGTAGAATATCATCACCCTCTACCCATTCTATCCAAAAGTGCTCTGGATCGCATGACCAATTTGCCATGATTTGTCTAAAAGAACATGTGCTTCCAAGGGTGCGCGTCAGAAAGAGACCCTGCCATTTCCACAAGCTTCCTTTACAGATAGGGCTTGTCTTGTGTTTCAGTGTTTAGTAATAGTAATAGTATCATTACTATTGATATTATCATCTTACAATTAAGAAAAACAGGTCTTTACTTTAAAGGTCAAACAGAGCACATATGTATAGGGGCCCATGTATTAACATAGTCTGACAGAGAAATACTGTAACTGGTTTTCCTTTTGACTTTCTCAGCCATTCACTTCTCAGTCAACAAATGTTTATTTGAGACTTAGCTGGTGCAAACAGCTGAGATTTAATTATCTGATTGAGTACAGTAACTGATCGTGTAGCTGTTTGCTGTCAATTCTTTTTTTCCTTTAATTCCTTAGTGATAGTTCTGTGGTATAGGACTTCTTGGGTTAGGATGGAGTTGACATGAATAATTGGGCAAGCATGTCCTTTGAGACAATCTTGAAAGAAGATCATTAAAACTGCTCAATTATATACTTTTATCTTTTTTAAGATTTTGTTTATTTTTTGACAGAGCGAGAGTGAGAGAGGGAACACAAGCAGGGGGGTGGGAGAGGGAGAGGCAGGTTCCGTGCTGAGCAGGGAGCCCGATGTGGGGCTCGATCCCCGGACCCTGGGATCATGACCTGAGCCGAAGGCAGATGCTTAACAACTGAGCCACCCAGGCGCCCCTCAATTATGTACTTAAGCAGTGAGGTTTTTCTTTTTTTTTTCTATGAATTTTATTTTTGTTCTTAGAAGCCTTTGACTTGTACTGTAATCAATAGTTTTAAGTGTCCTAGCTATCAATCTGCCAAGCATTAAAACCTTGTATTTTGCCTGTGAATCATATTTAGCCAAACTTTAATAGCTTAAGCAGAGTCAGAAATATGATGTTGTAGAATGACTTTTATTTATGTGCAAAGATATTTACCAATGACAATTTTCACTTTCTTCCTCTGGTTCATATTCATTTTCTGGTCTGTTGTTAATATCTATAAAACTGGTGCAGGATCTATTGCTTAGAGTGAGGGTTTTTAATTGTTGAAAGGACCAATGCATCTCAATAGGGCTTACTGTGATCTTGCCATATTTTGAAAAACCCAATATCATGGATGTTAACATTGGAGAGTGTGGAAAAAACCTCATTCTTGTTATTTTAAATCCTCTTGGCCCCCTTGGCCACTGTTGAAGAAGATGGCCAGATGTGGGGGGGCCTTTGACCAGATTCATGCAGGTACAATCTGACTGCACCTCACCCAGGCTCTGGGCCATGTGCCTCTTACGTCCCAACCCAGAGATTCTCTGACACTGCAGGCTGGCACACCTGTGGAAACCCCATTGGCATTCATGTGTATGTAAGGTGTTAGGGTGAGGGAGTCACTGCCCCTAGGAATGTGACCCATGGTTGATCCAGCTGGGCACACCAACCTTCTTTTTTCCCAAGTAGATCTTATTATTCATTTATTTAATTTTAATGAAGTGTGGTTGACATACAATATTGCATTATTTTCGTATGTACAGTGTAATGATTCAACAAGTCTGTGTTATGCTGTGCTCATCACAACTGTAGCTCCCATCTGTCACCACACAATGATATTACAACAGCATTGACCATATATCCTCTGCTGTACCTTTTATCCCCATGACTTACTCATTCCACAACTGGAAGCCTGTATCTCCCACTCCTCTTCACTTGCTTTTCCCATCCCCCCACCCCCCCAACCATCAGTTTGTTCTCTGTATTTATACGTCTGTTTCTGCTTTTTGTTTGTTTTGGTTTTTAGATTGCTCATACAACTGAAATCATATGGTATCTGTCCTTCTCTGACTTATGTCACTTAGCATTATACCCTCTAGGTCCATCCATGTTGTCGCAAATGGCAAGATCTCATTCTTTTTTATGGCTGAATAATATTCCTGTGTGTGTGTGTGTGTGTGTGTGTGTGTGTGTGTGTGTGTGTGTGTGTATAATATATCTTTATCCATTCATCTATGAAGGGACACTTGAGTTGCTTCCGTATATTGGCTATTGTAAGTATTGCTGCAGTAAACCTAACAATTATATATCTTTTTAAATTAGTGTTTTCTTTTTCTTTGGGTTAATACCCAGTAGTTAAATTACTGGGTCATATGATATTTCTATTTTTAATTTTTTGAAGAACCTCCATACTGGTTTCCATAGTGGTTGCACCGGTTTACGTTCCCACCAATCATGCATTCAGGTT